GCTTAGCACAAGGGTCAGTCAAGTTGAAAGCTCACAGTCCCATCGCCGGTCACGCGTGTTACGGTTTTTTGTGTATATTATATGTAACTAGTGAGCGAGTCAAAGTGACTTAATTCCCTTTATAGTCTACCAATAGAAGATTAACCAATCAGGAGCTACAGAACACTGGATCCGTCGTGTATAAAGGCGGCCATCTTTGTTTTCCTACCTGGATGACCAACTTGTCCGGCAAACATGACAGACGGAAGAACTACGCTCTGCTACTTTGCTGCGATATCCACTGCGAACCTGCATTACGCTTTCCTACTGTCTCCGAAATATTCACTGCCAACCTCTGGATTCTATACTCGAAGACGACCGTCATGAAAATGTCTAACAACGCGTACTCCTCTCAACTTCTTGATGATGTGAAATCCGACCAAGCAATTTTCCGTCCACAACAAGAACCTCAACATCGATAGGGGGCCTGTTGTTCACGTCAAGTTAAATAAGTCATACCCCAGAGCACTTTAAGGTTCTTTCACCAACAGTGGGCATGTTCACTTCTTTCCTCTTTCAAAAGTGACAAAGAGATATACTTACGAGCGACCGTGAACAGCCTGTGTCTAGCAAGGCTAATCTCCTGATTCCATTGATAAGTACGGCAATTGTATGTAGCGCCTCCTTCATATGGGGCTTGGGGAGTAGACTGGCGCTGAGGCCTATTTCCTTGGCTTGCTACCCGGGCAATTGCGGACTACATGGCCTACCGCGTTGCACTTATAACATCGCATCTGGGGTGTCTGCCTATCGGTGTGCGATTCATTGCAATCCTTTGCAAAATGATTGGGACCGTTGCAGCAATATCATGTTATGGAGCTACGTGGGTCCCCGGTAGAAAGCTCCCTCGCCTCATCCCGTATTGCCAGTTCCTCCAGTACTTCGTCTTTCATAATTGCTCGTGCTTGAGTCATCAGCTGGTCGATAAACAATTCGTCCATCTTGGTCGAAGCGCGAAGGAGATGTTTGACTCGGTCTGGTAACCCTCGCACGAACGCACATACCAAGCCACGGTCGCTCATTCGGCCGAACAGGAGGGAAAGTTTTCGTAACTACGCCAGGTAGACATCCACCGATTATCCAGGACGGAGACATCGATCAGTAAATTGCTCAGAAAACCATCTTTAGCAAAGGCTGCGGATTTTATCTGGCTGAAATCCTTTTATTCTTCCTCTCTCAGCTGCTGGTAAACAGCAAACGCACCACCCATTAGCCTTAAAGTTCTGGATGTTTCCCCTGACACATCTTACAGATTAACTCAGCCTTCTCAATCCATTCGACCACAAATGGTCCGGTCGCCGAGCCGTCGAACTCGGGAATGAGTTTGAGGTCAAACTTCATTTTCGCCGAAATAGCTTGTGTGAAATTGACCCAAGTAATCGCTTTCCTAACTGACAAAGTCTCTTCGTGAAAGCAGTACCACGTTCACGAATGTACTGCATATTCTCTCTCGCGTGGTGTTTTTTTTTTTGCAGAGTTGATCTCGCAAAAGAATTTGCATACGACCAACCACTCTGGCCAGTTCTCCTTGCTCCAAGACTGTGTCTTTCTTAAATTAATGCGTTAGGGCGGCAATATTTCTTTTTCTTTTTCTTCACTCGTTTTGCACGCCAGGCATATACGTGCTCGCTTTGCCACATGAGGTAGGTCATCACGGGAAAACAGTGTCGATGCATTCTATATAAGTAAACTGCAAAATGGTTTGTGCGTGTGTGTGTGTGTGTGACAGAGAGAGTCGGAAACACACACACACGTATATTTTTTAGTGAAATTGGAGTACAGTTGAATAGCGAAATTAAATCAGACCATTTTGCTTACTAATGGGAAAATTTGATCTAGGACAGGAGCTGTACCCATTGGAACTGGGTCATTAGCAGACAATGGAAATGGTTGAAATAATTTTTATTGATTAAAACTTGGAATAGAGCTGAGTGAGCAAGGAGGACCTTTAGAATTCACATGATTTTGGTTGAAACAGCCAAAACCCCGTGATAATCACATGCAAAGTAGTAGAGCCAAGGTTCAGTTGTAACCAGCCGGATTTTTCTATATAAACGAGTAGTTATGCTGAAGAAGAGGCAGACCGAAGAGACAGACGGAAGAGAGAGACAGAAGAGAATTAGCCCGGGCAAGAGTTGGGCTAGTGGAGAGTCGAGCTGGAGACTCAAGAAGGAGAGAAAGTGACGTCATACATTGAAACGAAGCGTACGCTAACATGTGCTGTTGATATAACTACCATGAATATTACTACTACTGTTACTACTGCTAAGGAGGAACGCCACTATAAACTTTAAGACGCGCACAGAAATCGTATTCCCGCATCGCAAGAGTCGTATATCGTTCTGAGACGATTTAACAACAAGTTAATTAATCACCTCTCTCTCTCTCTCTCTCTCTCTCTCTCTCTCTCTCTCTCTCTCTCTCTCTCTCTCTCTCTCTGTATGAATCCAGTTATGCGTTTTTATGTCAATTATTTTTCTTTTCTGTAACCCGTTTGTTTTCTCTACTATTCTTTTCTGCTATATAAAAGACATTAACAATTCAATCATTGAATAGTTGTTTGTCCAGCTTTCTGCAGATATTAGTTTGTTTGTTTGTTTTTTTTTTGTTTTTTTTGCTGCATTCTAAATTTCTTAGCGCAGACTCTCCAGCCGTGTCTAAGTCTTCAGTCGACCGTGAGTGGATGAACATCACTTCTGCTTTCTGGATCAAACCAAACACAACGTGAGCAGGAAATAGGATTAAACCAGGAGACCGGTCGAATAATCTACGGATGCTCAGGGGACCTACGGCCACTCCCTTAAGTTCGGCTAAGACCGAGTAGACACCTCAACTCAGAGAGTAAGACGTCGGAGGTTGAAGGGCTGGGGCGAAAGTGTTATATATATATATATATATATATATATATATATATATATATATATATATATATATATATATTGGGTAAATACTGTGACAAAGCGGAAAAAGCTTATTTGTGACCCGTTTCGTCCTTCAGGACTTCAGCGGACTAAATTTGTTATGTTGGTGCGACTACAAATGCGTACGAATGCGTACGAACGGTGGGTGCGGGGGACTTTAGAATTTTTTTTAGATTTTGTTTTTATATATCTAGCAAAATTCATTTAGTCTTTTCTTTTTTCCTTTTTCTTTCCATTACTTTTGTTAGTGGGTATCCACATTGTGATAATAGATCTGCCAGGAATAGTGAAATGTTGTAAAAGCAGGGCGCAATATATTTACGGCACAGTGAAGTAATGGATAATGGTTTGGATTGAGGAATCGGAGAGCCGAGTTCAAATTCCAGTCGAATTCACTGCATTCACTTGCGTGCTAATATCTTTGGGGAAGGTATGAATTCTCCTCTTCTCGCCCCAGCTCCGGGTAAATAGCAGGCCAGACTGGATTCTATAGCCTTGGATGGCAATTGGTCTAGGAGAAGGACAACTCTGAAGTCAAAACCTGCGGAGGACCGTTTGAGGATCTTGTGGCACGTAGTGTACCAGGTTTCTGTATTAGGCCCTTCAAAATGTGTGATTGGTTCTGCACAAAACCTTCACCATTATCATCAAATCTTATGTGCTGGTGCCGGGCTGTCGGTCCCTAGGAACTGATCTGCTTGGCCCACATACGTCGAATTCGATGGGAGAGTCGATTATATATATATATATATATATATATATATATATATATATATATATATATATATATATATATACGTTTTCAACACCATAGATTCAAAATGGTTCTACGGAGAATCCTAGAATTTCTCACTTGTATTCAGTATTTAACTAATGGCTAAATTTTATGTCTAAATGAAATGTTCTTCACTTCAACTGAAAATGAACATCTGTGATCATTGATCTGAAAGAAATATGCGTTTGTTTTGCTTTATTAAAACTATTGGTGACATTTGTCAGGCGCCAACATATTTATTCTATATCACCCGCATTCCCTGATAACCAGGACGCTGCTTTCCGAAAACATCTTCCCAAGAACCGCTATTTTGTGTAACAGACACGCACATGAATGCTTCCTTGAACACCATAAATACTTCATTCTAGTGCCAATATTTATCTATCCGCCACATCCTCGTAATTTTAATTTCCTTCTTCCACGTACGCTCATATCACACACCTCATTTAGTAACTCTCAAACTTGAGTTGCTCTTGGGCCTAGCGTTTGATGAACTATAGTAAAATAAAATTAATGCATTTTAAATAACTTATCAAAATTTAAATTAATAAATTATTTTTTATCATTGTTAAAGCTGACAAATAATTTTAATTTGATATGTTAAAAAAAATAATTATTAATTAATGTCATGTGTCTTAAAATTCTTTCCACCTCGATATGCTTTGGTGGAGTGGGTGGCCGTGATTTGCTTTTCATTTCAGCCAATATTAGACTTTGGTCAAAGTTTCCACTCTTAAAAATATATATATTTTATCAGATTTTAGAAAATGGGTCAGATAGGAATTTATAAGCCACCTCCTCCTATTTGAATGAACCTTTATTTCATCTTGGAAAGATTAAATGATTCATTGACTCGAAAAAACCCTTTCCCTAGAGTGCTCAACCGGATTTCCAGGAGCATATATAGTTATCCACAAGTAGACTGCTTTGCTGTATCGCAGCTTCTCAGTGTGGCTAGACATCCGATTGCTTTAAGCCGGCATCGAAACCTGACTGCATTGTAAATAATTTATAAGAGACAATATTTCGTTTATAAGTTATTCCCACTTGAAAGATGTATGTTGAGAATGAGAATTAAGTTAGACACAATGAAATAAATTGTGACCAATGTAGAAATGCCATATTTATGCTGTCAAATAAATATTCATATCGTTTCTGCTAATTTAAATTTTATTGATTTAAAAAAAAGCTGTATTGACCAATGAAATTTGTACTTATTCCATTAAAAATTACGCAGAAATGAAGATTTTACAATTCACTTTCAGGTCCTGGCATTGCTCTTCTGATCATGACTTATATTCGCTGCTTGATGCATGCTATGGAGATGTCCTACGGATTTTTCTACACGTTTGCTTCTTTTGAACAACCATTTCCTTGGAGTCCGGCCAAATACAACATAAGCAAATGGTAAGATATTTTTTCTTTAAATTGTCCATTTTTCTGTTTCAGGGATATGATTAATAAGATTATTGATTATGACTCTTATTTGCACATAAGCAAAATATCTTCTTTTTTTTTTTCAAAATGCCAGATTATCAGTCAGCTATTTCATATTTAAATACGAGTGTATATTGTTTTTTCTTTTAATAATATAGAAAATATAGAAAATATTAGTTTGATTTTACTTTTATGAATTTTTCATTATTCTTCTCACATTCCTCACATCGATATATTTGCTGCACGTAAAGAAATATCGTCGTAGATTACACATTGAGAAAACGAAATTTAAATTTTTTTTCGATAATTACTGTCGACCAGTGGATATCCCCAAACCCCGGGCTCTCATTCGAACGTGGATCTTACTTTCTCGTGTGCAATGTCTGAAAGAGACTTTTATTTATTTACTCTTGCTATGCAGCTCTTTCTCACGTGTACATCCCAGGTGAAGGTGGGTCGATCACATGGGTCTGCACTCAGCAGCTATGAAGTCACCTGTAAAGATAACAATGGCACCTGAGCGCAAAGTCCATTCCGTCCTAATCTGAGGTCAACCAAGTACATACTACACTACATATGCTGCTTTTATTTGACTAGAAAAGCAAAGCAGTTGGTTCTGACATTTTGTTTTGTATGCTTAGCGTAGATTGCTTTTTATGAAAAGGCTAAACGTCTCCTTTCCCCAAGTAAAGAAGAAACGTTCAAAACTTCTTAGCATCTGTCATTTAAGAATTTCAAGTAACGCCAGGAAAAAAAGGCATTATAAAATGCAAAAAAGGGAACGAATGGAAATTACTCATTTATTATTTTTGTCGGATTATCAGATTATCGGCAAACGATTCTATAATTGCAGCATCAGCATGGCATAAAGTAACATAAACTACAATCGACACCCATCGGCTAACTTGATTGTCGTCAGTCAACAATAACTTCACTGGCTTTCCAAACCATCTGTATCTCATAATTCGTTTATTCACTCTCATACGGACACGAATGGCTGTATACCGTTGAAACTGTTTTCCTCCTACGTATATAATTTACAATCCTGTCGACACGGACACTTTAGAAGAATTCGTTTCGATCACTGACACAGGGAAATCTTTTTTTAAATTGTTTGTTTCCTTTTAAGTATAAATACATTCCAATAAACACGGTTGAAACTCGTTCTGATTAAATTTCATGAAAACAATTTCACATCGGAAATTGTAATTCTTTCAAAGTTTCTCCCTAGATGTTTTAGGGACTTATCGGTTTTATATTTGCCTCATTTTACTTGTTTTGTACTTGTTCTCACGTATAAATCCACGTCACTAAAACAATTAAACGTCGCTAAGTGATACTCAATATATGAAGAATGAAAGTAATTCTGAAGAACATAATTAGAGGCGATGAATATTTTGATTCGTTAAGCTAAGAGTTCAATGCTTCAAGGAAAAGATGAATGTAAAATCATTTTATCTACAAACAGGTTAGATGAATGTCTATGCGGATAAACAACGAGTTCAGTGAATACATATAAAATAGATGACTATGCTTTTTTTCACCGGATTTATTTATTTAAATAATACAACTAAACGATCATAACAGAACTAGAAACCTACCATGTTTTACTACTGGCGGGCATAACCATAGCAACATAAAATAGGCAAACTTTGAAAGGAAACTGAAAGAACCCTTATACAAGAGTAAAGGAAAGCAAGAAAAAAAGGACTCTTACCTGTAAGAAGGCAGAATGTCTGGTTGTCAGCAAGAGAGACAACACAAGGTGTAAGTTTTGGGGACATTGATAACAAACAAGTACAAAAACGCAACTGTGAAGTGAAATAAAACACGACGGGAAATGTGACAAGGAAATCTGAAGGAGCATAGAAATAGCGAAATATGGTTTTCAGAAATAAAGCAAAGTATTAAACAATAGGAAAATTTGGTTAAAAATAAAGAAAAGAGCGATAACCTGCTATGTAATATCTAATTTCCTATATGATAATGCATGCATTGCGCTTAACTTGCTGATCCGAAGTTGAAATATATATATTGAATCAATTGCTAGGTCTGCTATTAGAAATGTCAGTTCACTGTGTCGTACTAGACAATTTTTCTCATCAGAATATATCCTGCGCATTTATATCCTGTCATTCGTCCATGCACTAAATGCTGCTATCACATAAGAATGCAATGTTATCATTCTTGACCAGACATCTCGGCTTCAGTCCCTTTCTGACCACAGCTTTCCTGCGCCTTTTCTATATATATATTTTCATGGTAATTGTTCTGATGAGCTTTCCTCTTTAGTACTTAGACCTTATGCATTTAATAGAATTAAAATAAAAATATTATAAAATACTGTCGGCATTAAATGACCCACGGAGGTTGATATGCCGTAAAATCAAAACAAACAAACTTTATGCATTTAAGCGCAGTATTAGAGTGGCGGCAAGGTCTTATCATTTTACAGTTGAAATTGTTCAATGTAATCGTAAGTTCTATGCTAACACTTTCTCTCTGTTAAAACACTTTTCCAGCTTATTGCTTTCTAGTCAATGCAAATGCAATGTCAAGCGTTATCTACTGTTATCTTAATTTCTGTTCTTTTATTGTTCTTTTTCCTTAATAATGTTTTTACGTTTTTTCATATTCTTTCGCACTCAGTAACTCCTTGTGTCTTTGTGGCTTCATTGCTTTGCATAGAGTAAAATGATTAAAAAACAAAATCTAATAATTACAATAACATTGATTTTAAATAAGTTTCTTCACTTTCTTATTTATTCTAATTCTTAATCCCCGGAAAAAATACTAAATCTTTTGACTAATCTGAAACTAACTGTATTATATGAATAAAAATTTTATTATTTCAAAATATTGACTTAGTTACTTGAGAGCGTTTCCATATCTTATTCACTGCAGAACATAACTTGCACTTTTCTTGAAACATTACTTATTGCGTTTTGCATGAAATATGATAACATCACACAGAATATTATTTAAAGTTTCAGTTATGAATCCGATTTATTTTTTCTTCCATCATTTATGAACAAATTTAGTGATAAAAATCTTATTTAGGCATAAAAATCATTTGTCCAACGAAAAAATGGCTTGAGATATAAATTCGAGGTTAAATGTTTAATTCATATGTCATCCTCTTTCCTACATACTTTATTAACATGTGAAACAGCGAACGGTGTTACAGTGTTGAGTAAATATTTTAATTTTACTTGGCATCTGATATCATCAAATACATTACAAAATATTCCGCCATTGCTACTATCATGTTTTCCTAAGACTGAGAAAATCAGGATTCTCAGATCATCTTTACTCCGGCCTACAGCATCAGCCTTGAGTTTAATAATCTAGACTGGTACAAAAATACGCCTTGAGTTCTTTTCTTTTAATTAAATATTGATTAGATACACATATGGTGTACCGAAACATTTTCATATTTTTCTATCTTTAAATTAATTGGCGAATAAAACTAACATCAATTTATATGAAGTCAAATTTATATGAAGTCAAAATCGAGAGCATCAAACTTGAGTCATCCTACTCACTGCTGAATTATGAAAGCACACTAAATACTCATAAGTACCTTTCCAATTACATTCTTTGCGGATTTTTTTAATAAACAGTTATTTTCTATTTGATGTACAATTATAATCAAATTTAAAAGTTATTTTCTGAAATTTAAATCACAAATTTCATAGCCCTCAATTATTCCAACTATTAAGCCTATTTATACTTCGTCTAGTTTGTGGATTATTCGAACTATTTTAAAGCAGCGAAAGAAGATTTTCTGTCTGTCAGAAGTTAAATCTTGACAAATGATTGTAACTTTCAACTTACGAACCCAGTAATAAGATTCCTGTTTAAAGAAAGTACTGCACTTTCAAACTTTTATTTAGCATGATGACATCATACTATTCATTACCTTTGGAAAACGCATTTCTGAACAGAGCTGGTGACATTAGTAGTTTTAGATTATTTTGCAGGTATAGATTGTAAGGACTGAACTCACGCGTGCCAAGAGGCGTACTAAGTAAAATATTAAATAAAATCAAATAAAACATACATTTAAGATGGCATGTTTCATAGTTAAAGAAAACTTGAGATTAGAACATATGTTACGTCATTCCTTAAGGTGTCATTGAAATTATATAAAATTTTAATCAATAATAACAGTGAAATTTCGTCTTACCCTTTGAACACGTCTCGATATAACAACAAAATGTCAAAATGGGAAAAGTTCCTGATTGCTCTAAATAAATATAATAATGACGTTTCGTCTAGGAATCGTTTTCCATTATCTTGGATTAAAAATATTAATGTAAATGATAACCTAAAATATTAATTTATCCATGTCTCGGTGTTATCTATTTTCCAAGGAAATAATATTAAATACAAATATTTATAGAATATTATGAAACCCGCTTCTAATTGGCCACCAGGTGTGACGCACATTTCACTAAAATATGGCAGGGTAAAATAATCTTTTAAAAAAATCAAGGAATATTTATCTTTGCTGATTTTGATATGTATAAACAATAAAATACGATCACTGAAAACTTGTGAAAGAACGAAGTTAATAAAAAAAATCAGTTTTTAGGGAACTGAGACAAGCTGAGAACTTTTCAATCCTACAATCTTGTAGAGAGTATAGGCTTAAGTGCGATATGCATATTAACAACGGTTGAACTCAAATTTATATTTGGTGATGATTATTTGCATAAGGAGAGAAACCACTTTCATTTTATTAATACTTCAGTAAACCGAATGAAATATTAAATAATTAAACACTTTGTTTTGGTTGCCCCTTTCCTTCCTTCCTTCCTCTCTC